TTATTATTATTATTATTATTATTATTATTATTATTATTATGTTGTAATGATGTTGTTTGTACTGTTCTTTAATTTTATTAAAGAGGGCCCCTGAATATCAGTTAACCTACTGGGCTAAACTAGAAGGTTTACCCTCCCTCTATAAAGATGGTTGAAATAAAAAAATATATATATATATACCCACTCTGACCCAAGACCCCTGTTACGCGCCTGGTGTTAGCGCCAATGTGTGCCCTTGTGCGGACAGGAGATGTGCCCCTCTCTGAAGCTGGAAACCTTGATTTGGAAAATAAATTGATGCAATTTGCTATTATAGGCCTAATCAATAAATTCCTGATCAACCGATATAACCTTAAACATTCTTGGAATTGACATAACATTACTGATGTCGTACACACCCTTCAGTGTGAAATGTGGCTCTCTTTGCAAGCACATCTAACATCTAAGGAAAGAAGAGCTTAGATTTGTACCAGATAAAATAATTTTGTTATCAACATTAATACATTATGCTAATTTTCATCTTTGTAAGCGCATAAGACAGTGCAAATAATTTCTGTGACAGTCTTTTGAAGTGTGTAAAGTTTCATTTTATCCCATACATAGTCAAAATATGGGGGGGGGGGATGATACAATGGACCATCCCCCCCTTGTCAAATATTGGGGGGATATATCCCCCCATCCCTCCCGGGATCTACGCCTATGAGTATTTTAGTGATGCTCAATTACCACCACAAATTGTTCGTGCATTTTTTATTCAATAATTATCTAAATAAAGGCCTGTTTATACTTCAACAATATCGTTATCGTTATTGTTGAAGTATAAACAATAACGTTATCGTTATTGTTTATACTTCAACAATAACGATAACGATAAAAAGGGATTGTTGATGTAGAAAACAAAAGAAATAAAAGAGGTTTTTACGCCAAACGATTCGATAACGATTTATCGTGTATATGATAACAAAATATTTTAACAAATCAAATCAGATGACGTCATAATCATGGAAAAACATACTACTACGATTTTAATGTTTTTCCGTGACTATGACCTCATCTGATTTGATTAGTCAAAATATGTTGTTATCGCATAACTGATAAATCGTCATCGAATCGTTCTGGTGTAAAAACTTCTCATATTTCTTTTATTTTCTATATGAACAATTTTAGCTTTTTTATCGTTATCATTATTGTTGAAGTATAAACAGGCCTTAAATAAGGGAAAATAATTTAATAAATAATTTAAAAAATAATAAAAATAAACCAAGAAACAGCAAGCAGATCAATGCAATGACTATATACAGAATGAAGATTCCCCTTTGTTGAAGTACTTTCTAATAAATATTTATTTATTCATTGCATCTTAGTGTATTCCATTTGATGTTTCCGGGGTTTCACATGTAGAGCTTTTCCACAATTTTATATCTTCAAAAATCATGTAATGTTTAAAATTCCTAATATGAGACCGCATTAAATTTTTTATTTTATTTTATATATACGGATACATAAATTAGTTGTCTCGATTACATATTATAGCTTATTGGAATAAGCAGAAGTTCTCCATTGAAGAATGCTTCTGAATTACTATTTTCAAAATTAACAGAAATAAATCAAATATATTAAATTATTAATCACTCTCACAGACAACACTAGCATACCTTCTGAACTTTTTCTTACGTTATCGACGGGCAAATCTGTAAAATGAAAATAAATTTAGTCATCTTGAATTCTCTAAGTTTACTATCGATCCTCTACCTGAATTCAGATTTCCTCCACAAAAAAACAATTTTATAAATTATTATTTCAATAAAATCAATACTAATAAAGACACCTTGGAATGAAGCAGAAATGCTTAAGGAGTTATTCTGCAATTACATTTTTGTAGTTGTTATAATTTAGGAATTTCGAAATAAATCCAATCCAATCGCATACCTGCTACAAATAGTTTCTGTACTTCAACAGTTGGCATTACTAAACGTTCTCCTGTTTTATAACAATGTATATATTCATTCTTTAAGCAGTACTCAAGTTCTTGAAAGTGTGGTTTCTCAGGGTTCATACAGACCAAGCAAAGTATGTTGAGAGAATAGCCAACAACTTTTTTAGACGGATATACCTCATCTAGATGTTGCTTTAGAACATTCAGCACCTGTAAAAAAGAAATTAAATAACATATTCACATTTTATATACAATACAAAGATTAGCCATTTGGTACGGGTATCAAATCTAAAACATAATCAAGATGACCAACAATTAGTCAATGGTGTCATTACCTCTGTACATACGATGGGATCTGGCTTGCACGTTGGCTTGTCTACACACTGTGCATCTCTCTCTTTCATCCGTGATATTTCAAGCTGCAGGTTATAAGAAATACTCCCAAAACTTAATTGAAATTTTTAACTATTTTTTTCTTTTAATTTACAATATTTTAAAATAATTTGGGTGACTAAAATGGACTCACAAGAGATTCATCCATTTTGCCAGTGTCTTCTGCATATTATTTTAATTTGCTCATATTAGTTCATATATTTCAATATTTGTTAAAAATTTCTGAGATAAATATTTAATTCAATTTAAATCCATGTTGTTAAGGTATGAACAAAAAAGGCAAAAGCCAAACAAATGTAGTAAAATTTAATAGTAGGCATGTTTAACATTAACAATAATATTGAATAATGATAATGTATTTAGGTGAAAAATAAATTTCTTGACGATGCCCAAGCCCGGAATAGGCCCATAATCTTTTTTTTTTTAAAGTATAAATTCTAAAATCAAAAGATGTACAGTATTCACCTTCAAAGACTGTTTGTTATCAATGAAAATCCGACCTAGCTTCACACAATGCTTATGATCGAATATAATCTCAGCCTTATTCTGAAACAGTTCAGGGTCGTCACAGAAACCTCTATCCTGACTCAGGCTGACAAATCTGACGACCAAGATATCGTAGACGGCGTCGGGGAGAAAGTCTTTAGGCGTCACATAGATGGATACTGTCTGCTTATCATCTTCCTTTACTTCCAATCTATCATCATTTTTGGTCTTCATTCGAGATGGAACAACAAATAGTCGAGCGCCATCTTCTGATTCTGCTTTCTTGAACTTTATACGATGAAAAGAAAAAAAAAACTCATCATGATTTTAGTTTGAATGTGAGGAGGGGTGAACTGGTTTTCTCACATCTTCTGCAACCTCATTCTCTTTATCCACTTTACCAATAAAATAAAAAACTCGAAATTAGAATAACAGGATTTCCAAATGGGCTAAAAATTAAGAGCCTCAAATATACAGGACGACATTACATAGCGTATATAATTATTTAGTTGGGATCGAAAGTATAAATAGAGGTACAAATAGGGCACACCTTTTCAAAGAGAAGTCCAAATTCCTTCATAAGTTCAATGAAGTCTTTAAAAACAACGTCATCATCTTCACTGCTTTTAAGTTCATTTTTCCACAAATGCCGTGCTAACGGTTCTTCCAGAATTCCTCCTTCATTTAATTTACGCCAATGTTGTACCATCAATGAATTCTACAAAAAAGAATTAACAAACCTGTTTCAACATACAAATACAAATTTATAAAAAAAATTCAAACCCACTGTGAATAAAAATCGGTTTACCCATGATGCACGAATACTTTTAATGACTCATGTATTAGGGAGCATTTGCTGTACCTCTCCCACCCCACCCTATCAAACATACAAACACCCACTTTCCAGTGGTTAATAGTAACAATACTGTAAATAACTTACAATAAGGTTAGATAACATAAGATACACCTTTCATTAGTACAATGAAGATCATGAATTTTATTTCCTTGATTGTACATTTAAGTACTAATATACGATAAAAAAAAACAATTTTTAGTAAATAGATCAAAAAAAATTAAACAATCATACATGAAAAAAACTTATAAATACTGAGAATACAATCTCTAATGCAATATGTAAGCCATATTTATTAAAACCAAATTATCTACATCAATATAGTAAACACAACATCATTAAAAACAATTATACAAACATATATACATATATATATACATATATATACATATATATACACATATAAACATATATACACATATATATACCTGTCTAACAAATAATATAATCCTACTCAACACTCACAGATCTACAATACTGTATCTCACCTTAGCCTGCTTCTCAGCATCACTTCCCGGTAGTAGATCCTTGTGCGTCCCAATTAGACTAATCGTCGGTGATGCTATCATTCCTTTGATCACATTCTTTGATTCAGAGCCATGTAGCAGTACAGCATGTTCAAATATTGACCTTATCCAAAATAAGATCGATTGAAGATTTGTCATCTCAAGAAATCCCTAGAAATATGCAAAAAAAAAATCACATAATTTATAAAGTGAGATTTACGAAAATTATTTCAGATGGTTATTCCCCACTCAGGGCCTTTGATAGATATTTGTATTGGCGCCTATATTTTCTTTTTTTTTTCATTATTAAATAATGTAATTATAATTAAACTACTGCATTTCATAAATTCACTGGAATATTTAACTGATTCATTTACTTTTTGGGGATCTCTTGGCTTTGCTAATTCATCCAAAGCGTCTAGCAAACTGAATACAACTCCATAAGATGAGCCATCTGTAAGAAAAAACTGGAAGGAAAAAGATCAGCGGATTGTTAAACCATATTAAGGATATCGATATAGACACGTAGCCTAACTAAGGTATAAGTTGAACACATACTAATATTCTATAGTCTCTTAAAGTGAGCTATATACACGCGATGTTAATAAAGTATTATTATTTTTATAATTATTAATGCACGTTTGGCGTCACATACTTAATTAATGCTTAAGTATGTGGTTTTATTATCACTGATCTGCCTTCTATTATTTTTATATAGACATGTTGCCTGAAATAAAGCATTGATTTCATTCATTAATAATTTTCTAAAGCTGCATAGGAGCCTGTTCTTAAATTTCAACACACACAAACCAATAGGAAAAACAGGACAACTCTCACATCATTAATGATGCTATGCTACGTTGTCATAGGGACACCAGTGGCTTCAGTTGCCTAATAAGCATTTATTTTTGTTCTCAGTGCAATGGTACTCACTATTCAATGTAATGCAATGATAATAATTAGTAGGGCCCAGTTCCAAAATTTTAATCGATTTATTATTTTTAAAAGTATATGCTGAACCTAGATTAATTTGTTTAGTGAGGAATGTATCTGTTATTAAACTTGATTTTTGACTTTATCTTTATTGTTTCAGATTTTATCATGCAGAGGGCCCTGAATATCAGCCTAAGTGGAAGGGTCAATCCCACTATAAAGATGGTTGGAATAAATAAATTATTATTATTACTATTATTATTATTATTATTATTATTATTATTATTACATCGTCATCACAAAAATATTACAAATCAAATTCTTGGTACATGGAACAAATTACATAATAAACATAAATGTACTATAAAATAAAATGAAAAAAAAAAAGGAAAAACAGTTCACTGTTGTTTTGCAGTACAGTGCAATCGATATTCAGTGCTGTGTGCACGATGATATGACCAATCACTGCACTGATTTTTTTTTTACTGAATGTCCACTTACCCGGTGAGTAATATAATATTCAAGTTGACCGGCATAGTCCCATATACAAGTTACGTCACTCGGCCCAGAACTCTTGTTTGCAAGTTTGTCAATGACTTTCTTACGCATTTCATGTAGTTGATAAGTGGATACTTCAGTGTCCTGAGATACACCTTTTGCATTGGTGGATACTCCTGTATCCTGAGATACACCTTTTCTATTGGTGGATACTGCTATGTCCGCAGATACACCTTTTCCATTAGTGGATACCCCTGTGTCCTGAGACACACCTTTTCCATTGGTGGATACTCCAGTGTCCTCAGATACACTTTTGCCTAAAAATACATGACAATGAACTGTAAGTGTGAAACATTCTCTTAGTATTGTGGTTGTGACGATGGTTGTAGTGGTTCTTGTTAATATGATTATGATTGTTATCATGATAATAGCGATGAAATTTAACAGAATTATATCAATTACAGTAAATCGACGACCTGTATTTAAAGTAGCACAAACAATATAATTAGAGATCGATTATATGAACTCTACAACTTTTAAACAATGTGATTCTCAAGGCCCCAGAGACAACTATGGTAGGTCTAAACATTTTAAATAAATCTACCTTTAAATAGTCGCATAAACCAACGGGATAAAGAAGACTTTTTTCTGGGATCAATTGCTGATACAGATGAAGCTGATGGAGATGATTTTCCTCTACGATCAGTTGAGGACGTAGCAGCAGTAAGGTCAGGTTCGGGTGTAGATAAAGATGCATATGACATTGATTGGTCTGCTGGGAGACTTTCTGTAAACGTCTTTGCTACATTCGTAGCGATAGCGTGTTCACGTATCTGTTTAGTTCGTTCGATTTCTGTAGAATTATGGCACAGCATTGTGAAGTTATTGAACAAAAAGTAATAAATTGAATTATTAAAATAGGCCTATTCATTATTAAGTTTTTATATGTTCTAAAGGTTGTTAAATTAACTACTGTATACATCAGATTTTCTATTTATAGAATCATACCGTCTACATCCCCCTGCTCCTCCCATTTGCTGTAATCCTCACCAACAGTTTGGAAAACAGTCGTGCTAACAATACCATCAGTTGACGGCTCATCTTTATTAAATCTATTATTGAAATAATAATAATAATAATAATAATAATAATAATAATAATAATAATAATAATATTAACAATAATAATAGTCTTAATAATAATACTAATAATAATAACAATAATAAAAATAATAAAATTCTTAACATTAATGATGATGATGATAATAATAATAATATGCCTATATTAATGATGATAACGATAATAATGACAACGATGATCCAGAGGTGACGGAACTAGCGGGTGCTGTGTTATGGAGAGTAATGTATGGCGTGACCGGAAATGGTCTGCAGTCAGTTGGTTGTTACCATGCGCCAGTGACGTCGGAGTATATAGTACAGCAATATGAAACTATTAGGCCTAAATAAAGTTCAGAGTTTGTCGGGTAGTGAAATGATTATTTCACATTTTAAGTGCTCCCTAAATTCATAAGTGTAAGCTGAATTACGGTGATTAATTTAATTAGCGAAGATATGGAGACAATTATTTCGAATCCCTCTTTCCAAGAGGGGATGCAAATGCTTTGTGAAAATGAGTACGCTGCGGTACTCATTTTCACAAAGAAATGCTAACAATGCGGCTCTTGTAGCCCTGGCTTGGGCAAGGCATCCATGTGCAAAGCAGTGGCGTTTGTTTATCCATGAAAAAAGCACGCCACCGGGAAAGTTTACCTTATCAGGAAAAGGTGACGTATCTAGCTTATGACGTATGCATGCTAACTAATGTGAGTGTGACGTCACCAAAAAATGAATATTTTCTATTATTTAACATAAAAATAACGCTAAAAAGAAAAGATCGACGTTTCGACTCCTTCATGGTGTCATTTTCAAGATCAAATGATGAAGTAAAAAATATACAGCAACTATAATCAATAGAAAAAAGCTAATCTACAATGTCAAAGTTCATAACAGTGGGATATTAAACCCTGTGTTAGATAAAAAGCTTTGCTTTGACAGATTTTGAAATCTTTTAAGATTTCTGTTAGGACAACATGCTAAGGACCATCATATCAGCCCAAGCAATATTGAGTCATGTTTCAGGAAAGAAATGTAGGAACAAATTTGACTGTCTCATTCATGAAATGCTATTTATTAGACAATTAAAACCCAGTCTGAATAAACAATGTGTCTCTCTCAAAGCAAAGCTTTTTATCTAACACAGGGATTAATATCCCACTGTTATGAACTTTGACATTGTAGATTAGCTTTTTTCTATTGATTTTAGTTGCTGTATATTTTTTACTTCATCATTTGATCATGGACCTATTAATAAGATTATTAATAGGTCCATAGGTCCATGATTTGATCTTCAAAATGACACAATGAAGGAGTCGAAACGTCGATCTTTTCTTTTTAGCGTTATTTTTATGTTAAATATTTATACAAAACGTACTCTCATTTTCTATTATAACCAAAATATTAATAACTACAAAGTTTATGGGCGTAAATTTCCTTAATACGAATGAAGGGTTGCACAATCTCCTTGCCATACAAATTACAGCTCTCACTGACGCCTCAGTCGAGAAATACGGGTAGCTGAAGTTTTTCTCGCAAATCTGACTACAAAACCATATCCAAATTTCACGTTCCACTTTTGACCCTGAGTTGTGCTTCGCACTCGCCGCTGAGGGCGGCGTTCCAGGAACCCTGCGTCTAGATCTGGTGGATCGGTAATTGACAAAGTCTCCAAGGAGGATCATGTCAATAGTGTTTGGTTTCATACCGTCACTGTTTATATTGTCATGCATATTTTACTGTGGTGACGATGACAAAAAATAATAATAAGACGGCGGCGGCGGCGGCGGTGGCGTCGTCGTATTATTTTTGTCACCATCGTTATGAAAAAAACGACGACGATAATAAATACCCTAAAAAATAAAAACAATAATAAAAAATAAAAATAGAATTCAAGTTTCTATAAATTTGTCTGTTTTAATACCAGTAGCTCATTTGAAAGGATCACAGAAGATGTTAACTTTTAACCAGAAACAGGAAAAAAAAACCCCTAAATTCAGCTGATTTACAAACATTTTACAAAAAAAAAAAGCAAACCTGTTTAATATTAAAAGTAAGATGTGTATAAGAAATCTAATCTATGCAAGAAGAATACAGGAAATGTATTATTATTATTATTATTATTATTATTATTATTATTATTATTATTATTAATATTATTAACATCCATTAATTGGAGGTGAATTTTTGTTCTCATTCGAATATTAATATTTAATAACAAAATAATAAAAATAATGATAATGATCATCTATACAAAATATAAATAGGCTCTAACTATAAAGTTATAAAACTTATCTGACACAAAATTTAACTAGTAATTACTGTTCGAAATGTTAAACAACAAATAATTTTCAATTTGAAATCTAAAATATTCCCATTCCGTGAACCATCCTGCAATCGACTCGTTGTTGTTTTGCCCAGATCGAAACTAACTCCGGCTATATAAAATTGATTATAAGATTGAAAAATATTAATCTTATTATTGTAGTAGCGATAAGCCTAGATACTATGTACACGTTTAAATTATTGTTATTTATTTGTTATGTCATTATACATCGTGAGTGGATTTCCCGTACGATTAAAAATCATAACGGTATTGGGTTTGGTCTACAGGAGTTCGTGCTTCGAAACCCAAACCCAGTACCGTTATGATTTTTAATCGTACGGGAAATCCACTCACGGCTAGGCTTATGCCTACTATAGGCCCTATTACTTAAAATATACAATTTTAATTGATAAGATTAATTTTACATGGATATAGTAATTCATACCTAAACAATACATTAAGTTTAAATATAAATACTGTATAATGACATAACAAATAAATAACAATAATTTAA